ATTCTTGGTGGATGTTTTCTGATTTAGTTGCTTTTCCAGCCTGGCCCCAGGAGGAGGTACACAATACTTCTGCCTATTCAGCCACCACAGTTCTCTTAAAAATCTTAAAGATGCTTTTTATTTTTAACCCTGAAACTATTTGGGCATATTTCTTTATCCACATCTCTACTTCATTAGAATAGATTCCTAGAGATTTCTGGGACAAATGTTATGAGAAATTTAAAGGCTTTTGATTCTAATTGCTTTCTGAGAAGGGTGTATCAATTCACAATCCTGCCAGCAATGTGTGAGAGTGCCTGCGTCACTGTTATATACTTTAAGGAATATCAGTGCTTTTTTATTTTTTAGTTTTTTTTTTATCAGTGCTTTTAAATTTTCACCAGTTTGATATGTAAAATATTATATGCTTGATATAATTTTCATCTTCTGTTCTTACCAGTGAGGTAGAACAAAGCACTTTACCTTATATTTCTTGTTATTTTAATTTTTATTTTTGAGAGTACGTTTTTTAAAGCTGGAGTCAGTGAAACAAGGAAGGGCCTATGATAAAAGAAGCAACAGGAGAGAGCCTAGGCGAGGCTGCATTGGCTCACTGGAAAATCAGAAAAAAGATTGCCTTGGATATAGGGGGTTAGCCCAGGACAAGCTGCTACTGCCTATTGCTCCCCTGGTTGTAAGTCTCATGGGGACCTTTAGAATTTAGGAGAAATATAATTTACTCAAAAAGGAGATTTGAGTGGGTGTGTCCCAAGGACTGTGTGCCTACCCTATATTTATTTTCCTGGAAATTATCTCTTGGTGCCTTTGCCAAGGTCCTTATTGAGGTCTTGTTCATCATATCAGTGTATATAAGCTCTTTATATACTAAAGATAATGACCCTTTGCCATATCTGTATATCTTGTTCTGTTTGTTTGTTGTTTATTATTTAATTTGTTAATTACATTTTGTCATATAGAAGTGTTTAAGGTTTATGTATTAAAATCTACCTACATGATAGGGTTTTTTTTTAACCTCTTTTCATTTTAGAAAGTCCTCTTCCATCCACATTTCAGCATAATCATCTACATTTTATTTTAGGGCTTTTATGATTTGAGTTCTTTTACCTTCAACTGATTTATCTGGAATTTCAGTTGATGCATTGTGGAGGCTGAAATTTGAATGAGTATCAACTGGGGTGCCTGTTAAAAACCCAGATATTTCTGAGCCTTACACCCTGAGATTTGGATTCTGTAGGTGTGAGATGGGGTTCAAGAACCCTCATTTGTTTTAATCACCCAGCCAATTACATTGCAGAAAAGCCCCCATCACATTTTGATTAATTCTTGTAGATGCTGTGTGGCTGGCCTTACTACAGAGAATTAGCTCCTTCCATCTGGATGACTGCAGTAGTTTTCCTCAGCTTCCAGGTAACTGTACTTTAAAATCTGTTCTACGCACAGCTACTAGGATTCTCTTCCAGAAACATCTCATGAAAAACTCTTCATAAGCTTCCAATTGTTAAGGAACTAAACCAAAACCCTCAGCTCAGCACTCCAGGACCTTCATTATCTACCTGGAACTATTCGTCTGATCAGCTGGATCTCCAATTATTCCAGAACCACTCTCTCATCCATCCAGACCTGCCTTCTCATGGGGCTTGGGACACATATTGCTCATTTTCATGCTTCTGCCCCCACCTCTTTTCAGGTTATTCAAACGTATGCATTTAACTCACTTCTCGCATTCTCTTCCTTCTCTGACTATTATACTAAGAAGATCACTGCTTTCCTAGAATTATCAAAAACCCATTGTTGCATATTCTCCCTTTGTGAATCTTATCTTTCCATCAGCCCCCACAATTGAGAGGGCATGGTCTGTGTGTCTATGCCTCTTATACAGTCTTAGTTGGAAGGGAAGCACATCTGAGGAAAGTAGTGGAACCAAACTAGCCATAACTGCCAAGTAATTTTTAAAAAATATATTTTATTGATTTTTTTTTTAACAGAGAGAAAGGGAGAGGGCTAGAGTTAGAAACATCGATGAGAGAGAAACATCAATCAGGGGCCTTCTGCACACCCGCTACAGAAGATGTGCCCACAACTAAGGTACATGCCCTTGACTGGAATTGAATCTGGGGCCCTTCAGTCCGCAGGCAGACACTCTATCTACTGAGCCAAACCGGTTAGAGCCCAAGTGATTTTAATACACATTATTTCTGAGAGCTAATGTATAGCCCTCAGAAATGTTTTCCTTGAACAAAAATGAACATGTTTTTTAAAAATATTTTTTATTGATTTCAGAGAGGAAGGGAGAGGGGGAGAGAGATAGAAACATCAATGATGAGAGATAATCACTGATCAGCTGCCTCCTGCATGCTCCCCACTGGGGATGGAGCCCATAATCTGGGCATGTGCCCAGGACCCTTCAGTTCGAAGGCTGATGCTCTATCCACTGAGCTAAACTGGCTAGGGCAAAAATGAGCATGTTCAACAAATTTTTAGAGTCCTCATTCTGTTGTGATTTGATTTGCTGATAAAGTTAATCAAAGGTTATCTTGGTTTCAGTTCTTATTTAATTTTTTAAAGCAGTTTAACATTTCAGTTCTTATTTAATTTAATAATATTGCTTTAACACCTAGTGTTACTGTTGTAATTAGCTAGTTAATAATAGGAAGAAGCAAAGAGAAGGCCAGACATTATAAGAACAGTCATCTGGGCAACTTCGCCAGGAAGCAGCAATTTCACATTCCCCTGGGAACCACTGGTCTATTCCCTGCATATTACTGGGGTAAGGGGAAGATGGGTGAAAGTGCAGTGAAGTTGGAGTGATATAGGGAAGATACTTGCCTGTCAGTCTGCCCTGGAATAAAGATAATTGGCCAAGTGGATCAAGCCACTACAAGCTGGCAAAATAGGATTAAAATCCCCAGACAAAGGAATTCTTTTTATCTTGTTCCTCCGGCTTTGCCCCTGATTCCTTGCACTCACCCTGTTCCATCCATAGCCATGTGGCCCTAGAGCCCACATGGTCCTGGCCATGCAGGACCCACTTGCAATGGACTACAGCTGGGAACACAAACAAAGCTAGCCTTATGCTGGTCTGGTCTGTGCAAATATGGAGTGGGAATGGCTTTAATCCTAGCTCTGCTAAAGACACAGCTGGATCTTTTCTTTGACAGGAAAGAAGGAGATGGACCTTGGAAACTCAGGGGTTTAATTTCACGCAAATAAATACCACTCATTCTCCTGTGTGAGTCTCAGAAAATTACTTTTCTGGTGACATTGCAAGAAGCTCACTTCTACTGATAGTAGACAGGTACACAGAGCACGCCCCACCAATATCACTCTGATATATCCATTTATTCACTTGTCACTGGTTGAAGAGTCTAACATTTCCTATAATATGGGATATTTCTTTCCCCTCTTACAAATGTAATGGTTTCTCTTTTATAAAAATGTGCTTTATCAGATTAAATGAATATAAAAGGGTTAATAGCTAAATGATTACATCATAGCTTCCTTAATATCTGTTCTCTCTTTACCCCTCAGGGTGTGCCTTCTCCAATGACATACCTGTTTTAAATAAGTTTGCTTGGATGCCCAGAACAAGTGGGCAGGAAGGGTGAGTGAAGACAAGTCCTTTCCCTTTCAGTAGACAAGGTGGGATTCAGTTCAATCAATCAGTTATTTATTGAGCTCCTACTGGGCACCTATCCTGTGCAAGGCACAACAAAGGAATCAAAGATGAGAAATGTTAAAGGAGCAGAAGGGCAAGGGGAGAAGAAAGGGGAAGAAGGGGCAAGGAAAGGAGTACAGCTGGCTATCGCCATAAGCGGGGACTTGAAGAGAAAGGGAAAAGGTTATTTGAGGTGCTAGTCTGTTTAATTTATTGCTGTACTCACTAGGGCTAATGCATTGCCTAGCACATAACAGGCATGTTATGCTCTGAATAAATAAATAAATGAAATGTTGACTATCAACATTTAAGTGCTTTCCATTTAAGCCCAATTACTATCAGGCATAACAATTAAGTATAATTAAAGATAGGTTCACTTGCTGTAAATTTTATTCCATTAAAGCAACATTTTTTACAGCACATACATGTGTGCATCTTTCAGTGTTCTCTCTCTTACTCATTTGGTTGGGCTTGTGACTCCTCAAAAAATTAGAGGACTCATTGAATGTAGTCTAGGAACTGGTAAATGAACTAGTTGTCTCTGGCCTCCCGAGTTCTGCAGTTGAAGAAAAAAAATTATTTCCCTGAAGTTTTAGTACTTACAGCCTTGACTGGGATCCACTTAAGAAACCATATTTATCTTGTCATAACATAATACTTTTAGGATGTATTATAAAATAGAGGGAGAAGGAATGCCTGGAAAAGTCTGTGGTCCAAAATAGGGCTGATTTAAAAAAAATTATTGAGAGAGAGGAAGAGAGAGAGAGAGAGAAAGAGAGATGGAGATTGATTTTTTTTTAATTCCATTTATTTTATGAATTCTTAACCAGGGATCAAACCTGCAACCTGGCATATCCGGACCATGCTCTAACCAACTTTTATAAAAGGCAGCCGGACCAGAGTTGAGCTGCCTTTTATAAAAAGCTGCGATTTGAGAAAATCCCTTTCCTCTCCTAATCTTTCCACCCATTTTGGATGGAAAGCAATTCCATTCAAAGTACAAGCAATTCTACCATCATAAATCTATTCTTTCAGTCGAAAGAGTTAAGCCACAAGCACTCAAGAGAAGGTCAACACTATTAACACTGCAGTGCGAATTTCTTTGTGATTTCCGAGGCTTATCCAGATTCATACATGGGACAGTGCAAAGAGCAGGTGTTGGGCTGGATCGCGGGGAGGGGAGAAGAGCTTGGAAAGGAAGGCGCCGGGCGATGGCGCGGGATGTGCTTTGGAAGGAGGGTTCCAGAGGAGCGCCCCCTGCAGGGTGAGGGCGGCGGCAGCCTCAGACACCGGGCGGAGCTCCGCGTCCCGTGCCCGCCCCACAGCTGCGCCTGCGCCTGCGCCTGGCGCACCCGGAAGTGACTCTTCCCAGCGGCAGCGGTCCAGGCCACTCGCAGGTTTTTTTATTTGACACCTCAGGCCTTTAAGCGGATTTATTGGTTAGAAGGTAAGGGGGATAAGTGGAGAGCCCAGAAAATCCGATTTAATTCTTACTGTACTGAAAACTGCTGACTGCGCCAAATTGCCCTCCGGCCGGGAACTGAGGAGGCAGGCGGAGCTGGGGACTGGGACTGACAGGACTCGATGCTGCCCCCGCCAGGTCGCATCTAGCCTGAGTCCCCTCGTGCTCTGATGTCTTCCCCAAACCCTCCACTCTGTCCTTCCAGACCTCCTCACTCCCTGCAGCCAGCCTAAGTACAGTGGCAGTTTTTCCTAGTGAACCCTTTCAATAGATGTGGAGGGCAGAATTTTCGCAAAGAAAAGGGGCTGGAGGAGCTGGTGAGAGGGTCTGGTGGGTCAGTTCCCCGTTACTCATGGGTTGCTGTCAAGATCAAGCAATAAACCCATCTGTCTGACTTAGCCAGGAACCATGCCTGGAGCCAGACCAACTGAAGGAAGGGTGGACAGAGAGTGTAAGCAGGACTTTGCCTGTGGGTGAACGTTTTGCCTCAAGGAGATCCTTGGCCCAATTCAAATCTACCTATCACATAGTCTCTGGTTTGAACTTGGAGCATTTCAAGTAGGTTAGCCATTCCAGCCCTAGAGTTAGCCTACCTTCATATCTAGCAGCTCTGGGCCCTGGGTCCCTTTCACTTCCTGAGGCAGTTGTCACACTTAAAAATAATCCAATTATTTATTTAAAACAGGAAAAACTACAAAAATAGTCTTTTCTGTGAACAAATGCCCCCTCTGACAGGAAAAAAAGAAAACAACTCACCTTGAGTAGTGTTACTCTGCTGCCTTGAAAAATATATTTCACCACAGAATTTGCTAACTCTGATGAAAGATTCTTTGCTGTGAGAAATGGCTGGTTGATACTCTAAAATAGTAGGATCCTATTTTAGACAATACCTGATAATTTGGAGGAAGAAACCTAGATTGACAAGGGGCCTTCTGCTGGGGTACAGGGCAAGGAGAGCACAGTCTCCTAATGGCAGTTACCAGTTAGAGGATCCTCCCATTCCCCCCAAAAGTTTACAAGTGTAAATGTAGCTGTCTCCAAATTCCTCAGCTCCCCTGTCCCTTTGCCAACTTCCTTCATTCTTCCCTGCCAGCTGGAGAGGCAGGGCCCCTTTCTTGGACCAGCACCACTCCCCCGCCTATGGTCTGGGCCTCCTCATGCCTTCCCCCCAACCATTCTTTATTCTCTGTCTCCTGCCTTTTCACTCATGTCCTCTCAATGGATTTTGATTTTTTTTTTTAATATTAAGTACATTTGTCTTACCCTGGAAAAATGTCTATCACAGTTCACAGACTTTTTATATAATAGTATTAGCGGGTGGTCCAGGGCAGGCCTTAAGCTCACCATGCTCCAGAAAATTAGGAAAGGGTTTTTGCATGTTGCTTTTAAGTTTCCCACATACTTATCCTCACACCACTAGCATAGATTATTACATCTCTCCAGTTTTGCAGGTTGGACACTTTGAGACACAAGGAAGTCTGGTAACATGCTTCAAATCAGAGTGTAAGGAAGGGCAGTGAACACTCTGTGTTAAGCAGTTCTTGTTTAATTCACACCACAATCCTGAAAGGTAGGTGTTATCATTTATATATTTATAGAATGTGACACTGAGATTCATAGTGCTTAAGTAACTTGCACAAAGTCACAGATCTAGTGAGAAGCAGAGCTAGGAATAGAATATGGCTTCAAAGTCCATGTTCTTTAAAAAAATTTTTTTATTGATTTCAGAGAGGAAGGGAGAGAGAGAGCGCGATAGAAACATCAATGATGAGAGAGAATCATTGATTGGCTGCCTTCCCCAATCCCCGTACTGGAGATCGAGCCTGAAACCTAGCATGTGCTTTGACAGGGAGTCCAGCCGTGACCTGCTAGTTCATAGGTTGACGTTTAACCACTGAGCCACACTGCTGGGCCAAAGTCCATATTCTTCAGGACTTGCCTCTTCCTGGGAGTTAGGTGGAGTATGCTATGAATAACACCTGAACCCTGGGCCAGCTTAAATTTATTCTGTTAGAAATTACTCCCAAATGCTTTCATATTATGACAATTACTTTTGTTGTTGTTAATCTTTACCCGAGGATATTTTTCTACTGATTTTTAGAGAGAGTGGAAGGGAGGGGGAGAGACATACAGAGGAAACATCAATGTGAGAGAGACACATCAATTGGTTGCCTCCCACAAGCATCCCAACCAGGGCTAGGGATCGAGTCTGCAACTGAGGTATGTGCCCTTGACCTGAATCGAACCTGGGACACTTCAGTCTGCAGGCCAATGCTCTAGCCACTGAACCAAACTGGCTAGGGCGGCAATTAATTTTTTGTACTTTGTAAACATACAAAATGGTGTATGGGTGACATATTACAGCACCTATGTCAGCATCCTCTAAGTTACCTAGTGATCATGACATACAAATTTCACAGTAATAGAGGGAGCCATGGGAGAACTTTATTTGATAAATCTATTACATATATTGGGCTTTTAAATAGATAGCATTATGAATTAAGGTATGATTTACATTGGGATGAAGTCTGAGGTAGAGAGCAAGGGCAAATAGGCAGTTTCACAGCAGATCAGTAAGGTGTCTGGTCAGGTCCATTCATATGTCCTGGATACTCAAAAAAATTACACAGTAATGAACGATCGAGCAATACAAAACAAAAAGGCAACAACAAATTCTTGTGTTGGAGGAAGAGGGATTCTTTCCTTTTTCTAAAGTGCCCTCCCCCAGTTCTGACAAATTTAAAAAAAAAATTCTCACTTGAGGACAAGCTGAGAGAGAGACACACAGAGAGAGAGAGAGAGAGAGAGAGAGAGAGAGAGAGAGAGAAAGAAAGAAACATTTATGTGAGAGAAATATCGATCAGTTGCCTCTCATACGTTCCCCAACCAGGGACCAAACCCACAATCTAGGTATGTGCCCTGACCAGGCATCAAACCAGCAATTCTTTGGTTCACAGGTACATAGGATGATGTTCAACCAACTGAGCCACTCCAGCTGTGCACCCTCCCCCTGTTCTAGCTCTTCCAGTTACTCCCACTATCCCTCCCCCTGCTGCTCTCATTTAATATTGCTACTGTCATTCAGTCCCATAGTATCTTTAACCATTATCCTATATAATAAAAGGGTAATATGCAAATCGAACCAAAAAGCAGAATGACTGGGAAAAACTGGTCTCTATGACGTGCACTGACCACCAGGAGGCAGACACTGCAGTAGCTGCCCCTTGGTGGTCAGTGTGCTCCCACAGGGGGAGCTCTGTTGCCTCCTCCACAGTGCTAAGGATATCCCACTGCAGCTTAGATTTGCTTCCTGCAAGGAGCAGGCCTAAGCTGTCAGTCAGACATCCCCTGAGGGTTCCTGGCCTGCCAGAGGGATGTCTGACTGCTAGCTTAGGCCCAATCCCCCAGGGAATGGGCCTAAGTTAGCAGGTAGTCATCTCCCAAGGTCTCTCTGGCTGAGGGGTCTCCCCCCCCCCCTCCGAGTGCATGAATTTTTGTGCACTGGGCCTCTAATGATAGTTATAATAAACATGTACTAAATTTTTGCTAGATACTGGACAGTGTGCTCAGAGCTTTACAAACATTTCCATTAATCTTTTGCTGAGTATTTTTTATTAATTATCCCTTATTTAACTTTTTTAAAAATATATTTTATTTATTTATTTTTACAGAGAGGAAGGGAGAGAGATAAAGAGCTAGAAACGTCGATGAGGGAGAAACATCGACCAGCTGCCTCTTGCACACCCCCTACCGGGGATGTGCCTGCAACCAACATACATGCCCTTGACCGGAATTGAACCTGGGACCTTTCAGTCTGCAGACCGTCACTCTACCGCTGAGCCAAACCAGTTTCGGCCCCTTATTTAACTCTTATAACCACTATATGAGATAGTTACTATTGTTATCTCCATTTTATAGATGAAAAAAGGAAGATCAGAGGGAATGAGTAACTTGTCAAAGGCCACTTAGCTAGTAAGTGGATGAGCCAGATGACTGTCCATCTCTGCTTGACTTTAGGATCTGCACACCTAAGATCTCAAACCTCATATGTCCCTATTGCCTGCCACTTCCAATTGTCATATTTTCCTTCTTTCTTTGGCCTCAGACTTACTGTATATGCCAGTGCCTTCCTGAAAGACAGTGGCCTCCAAGCTCCACATTCTTGTGATTCTGAGTCACCAGCATCTCTTCTTGCTCTCCAACTATTGCCTTTCTCCCAGGTTTAGTCATTGGCTTTTTGCTAGTCCCTTGAAAGCACTTTAAAAAAAGTTTATTTCAGAGAGGAAGGGAGAGGGAGAGAGGGATAGAAACATCAATAAGAATTATTGGTTGCTGCCTCCTGCATGTCCCCTACTAGGGATCGAGCCCACTACCTGGGCCTGTGCCCTGACTGGAAATCAAATGATGACCTCCTGGTTTATCGGTTGATGCTCAACCACTGATCCACACTGGCTGGGCTTGAAAGCTCTTTTTACTAGAGGCCTGGTGCACAAAATTCATGCATGGATAAGGTCCATCGGCAATCAGGGCCGATCAGGGCCTTCCTTCTCCAACCTGCCAGCTGCTGGCTGGCGCCTTCATTCTGCGCCGCCCCCTAGTGGCCAGCACACATCGTAGGGAGTGGTCAATTGAATTCCTGAGAAGATAATTTGCATAATAGCCTTTTATTATATAGGATTATTTTTTAATCCTCACCCAAGGATATTTTTCCATTGATTTTTAAAGGGAATGTCAGAGAGAAGGAAAGACAGAGAAAAATATCAACGTGAGAGAAACACATCTACTGGTTGCCTCCTACATGCACCTTGACCAGGACCCAGGCAAGAAGGAGCCTGCAACAGAGGCACGTGCCCTTGAACCCAACCTGGGACCCTACAGTCCACAGGCCAATGCTCTATCCATTGAGTCACATCAGCTAGGGTTAAAAGCTCTTTTTTTTTTTTTTTTTTAAGTTACAGCTTGTATTCTTTATAGCACTTGACAAAATCTCTAGCCCCGACTTCTCTCCTGACATGTAGTACTGCTTCTCTGCTTGTTAGACATTTCCATTTGGTGGCTTCCCTACCATTTTAAACACATGCTTCAAACATGAATTTGCTTTTTATTAACTTCCCTATTTTATCTTTATTTCTCTATATAAAGCCTCCATCAACTCACTATTTTTTTTCATAATAAAGTCTGCATTTTATTTAATCATTAAAGTTCTTCTAGAGCCAAAGTCTCACTTTGATGTAACTTTTTAGTCTTTTTTAAAAAATATATTTTACTGATTTTCTTACAGAGAGGAAGGGAGAGAGATAGTTAGAAAGATCAATGACAGAGAAACATAGATCAGCTGCCTCTTGTACACCCCCCACCGGGGATGTGCCCGCAACCAATGTACATGCCCTTGGCCAGAATCGAACCTGGGAACCTTCAGTCCGCAGACCGACACTCTACTGCTGAGCCAAACAGGTTTTGGCAACTTTTTAGTCTTATTTCCTAAAATGAACTATAATTTTAGTCAGATCAGTTAAGTCACTGTCCTCCAGGTACCTGCTTCACCTTCCTGCTGTCTCTTAAGACCTGGTGCAAGGCCTCTTTGCTTCTGGGAAGCCTTTCCTTAGCAATTATTAGGAACCAAGAATATGGTGTTAATTATTATATTTTCCTGGGTTTGAATTGATCTCCTCAATTAGATTATAACCTTTATAACTCCTTCAGTATCTAGTGTGACACACCGCCTTGCATATAGTAAATACTTTTTGTAAATATTAGTTAACTAGAGGCCCGGGGGTCAATAGGGCAGGCTGGCCGGGGCTGGGTGGGTGGGGGGAGGATCTGATCAGGTGGGGTGTGATGGAGGGGGGAACATAGGGAGAGTGGCCGCAGGCAATTGACAGGCTGGCCCTGCCCCCTGTTCGAACTCTGGTTGAACTGGTCAAGGGGACAATTTTCATATTACCCTTTTATTACAATATATAGGATTGTTGGTTGTTGGGTAGGAGTGTAGAATATGGAGAGAGACTAGTCATAGAAGTGTATCCAAAGAGTTCAACTCTTTTCTGGAGAACAAAGACTATATTTTCCACATCTTATTATTTTGGGAGCTTAAGCCAGTGCCTAGCCATCAGTAATTCAGTTCTGCTCAGCAGATCTGCTTTTACAAAGTGTCGATTCTGTGTTGATGCTGAGTTTCTGTAAGGATTTGTAAATGAATGAAACAGTTTGGAAGTTGTGCCTTTATTTCCTAGCTTCTGTTTATTCACCATTTATGCAAGTGAATCTCAATGTTTCTGTTGTTGGCAGGTATTAAGAGAAGAGTCCCAATGCACAAACCTAGATGCTTCCTCTCCAGGATGGGTTTCTTCTCCAAATCAGGACTGCTCTACTGGTGTCCTGGGAAACCTCCGTATTGGTCACAGCTTTTATGGGGCTCAGCATGCAAGGGAACCTTCACCAAGAGTTGTAAAAGGGGACAGAAAAGTCAGAAGAAACCAAGCCATATTGGGACAATAGATAGTTCCTGGGAGGAAAGGTAAGACTAAGGCTGATGTTCCTTACTCTTAGCAAGTCTGAATCTCTGAGCCTACTGAAATTCTGTGTTCCTGATGTAACTAATGTGGGATGGCAAGGATTCGAAGGGGTGCCTCAGGTAGGATAACCAAGGTGAACTTGAAAACATCTGAGGAATATTGTGGGAAATACTTTGGGATTGCAGAAAATATTCTCCTTGTCTTTGAGTGTGGTTTTCACAGAAAGGAGATATTAAACACTGACCTTGTCTCTAAAAGGTCCAGGGCAGGTATACTGAAAACCAGAGACCCAGAAAGCTATTAGATGGACTAGAAATGAATAGTTCCATTACAGCCATGCATTCACATAGCTATTTTATTTTATGCAACAAATGGATTTTCTAAATCAAATTATATTTTAAAAAGCATTAAGGAGATGGGATAATTAAAGGAACGTAACAGTGAAGACTTTTTTAATATGAATAATTACCTCCTGATAAATCTTGATTTTTCTCATATTAGGTTTGCATATTTGTTTTGCTTTTAGTAGACAGCACCAAAATGGGCTCTTCTGCCAGACTTATCTCCCCAGGGGCATGAGAGTTAAGTCTTTTGAATAATATGAAAAATTCCAGAGAAAATGGTGGCAGGAAGTACTTATGCATAATGTAGGTACTTAGTATATCTATATATATAAAAGGCTAATATGTTAAGTGTCCGACCGTCCAATTGGTTGCAATGAAGGGCACTGACCATCAGGGGGCAGACGCTCAATGCAGGACTGCTGAGCTGAAGTGTCTTGGCAGTGGCGGTTCTTGGGTGACATACCCTGAAACCAGAGAAGGAGAGATATATCCTTGCTGGACTGCACAATTTCACCTTTGACCATAGTTTATGTTGTTGCTGGGGCATTGTCGTCCTGAATCTGATTTATTGCAAACTTGTGTTTGCATTCCACACCTTGTATGATAGCAACTTTGCAGAGTCCCTTCTCACACTCCAGGACCCCTTGGGGGATGTTGGAGAGCCAGTTTCAGCCCAAACCCCATAGGCCAGGCCAAGGGACCCCACCTGCCAGAGGGACCCTACTCTCTCTGCAGATGCCCTTCAAGCCATGGTGCCATCCCAAGTGTGCTGGTCAGGGAGGGAATGTGGGAAGTTGGCTTCAGGGCGTGTCCAGCCTGGCTCGCCCAGTCCCGCCCCACTGGCCACCTTCTAATTAATTTCCTTTCAATGTGCATGAATCCATGCACCAGGTCACTAGTATTTATATACTGAGCTAAGTACCTGAATTATTTTATTCAAGGCTGGCTGATGTTGTGACACCACTCTGGAGGCTGAGCTATGAAGAACAGCTCAAGGTTGGTACCCAGCTTAAGTCTTCACTCCTCTGTTCCATCAGGTGAATGGTGTTAGACTTGTAAGAAGCTTGGCCAGACAGGCCTAGCCAGTCAACCTAAGGAGTCCTTAAACTCAGTATGCTAACAACTCTGAAATTTTAACTTTAGGCCAGTTATGTCTTCTGAACTCTAAAGCCATATATAAATGTCTGTTTCCATCATTGCTTGCTTTTTTGTTGTTCTTACAGCTTTAGCTACATGTGGCTGTGACTATTTAAATTTAAGCACATTCAGTTTTGCTATAATGCTTGTTTTTAAAATGGAAATTTCTTCCAACGGATTGATATTTTAGGAAACAATTTGAACATAATACAAATTTCATGTTTGTTTAGGAGTGATTTGGTCTAGGAGAAACAGATGAAAGAAGGAAACTGTACCCAGGTGAACTGAGTTGCATGAGAATCCATAAAATGAACACATACACACCTCAGACATCTGCTGCTCTCTCAGTTCCATGAGTGTGTTATGAGCCACACCCATTTACATCTGCTGTGAGAAATTTCCATCCCATTCACATGACCCTCCTTTCACCACCTCATGATAACTCACAAGTGGACAGCTACATCTATAAGCAAACTTCAGGTCTTTGTCAGGGCAAAGTGCCGTCCTTATTGTAGTATTTTTGCATTTTATAACCATTTCACAAGTAAAAATATACCGTATTTTTCGGACCATAAGACGCACCAGTTTTTAGAGAAGGGAAATGAAGAAAAAAAAGATTCTGAAACAAATAGTGTCCTAAAATATTTTATGTGCATTAAAACCCAACATCACAGTCATAAACACATGTAATCAACCCTGTAAAGTAAACAGCAGCATTTAGAACCATTTTAGAGCCGGGCAAGCACACAGAGACCACACAGAGCCGGGCAAGTAAAAAAACTTTTTTTTTTTTTAAAGTATATGTGTAGGCTATATTTGGACCATAAGATGCAGGGACTATTTCCCCCCACTTCTGGGGGAAAAAAAGTGCGTCTTATGGTCCGAAAAATACGGTACTAGTCTTTTTATTAGGTTCCTATATTTTCTATGTGTATTACTGATAAAGTTTGGGAATGTGTTCACCCAACCATATTTTTCCCCTGAGCCCTGTGATTTCTTTTGCATGATTTTGCATATGGTGTAAGAATGCTTATTTCATATTAGAGCAGAGCTGACTATCTTAAGTTAATTAAAATTAAGTAAGGCAAAAAAAAAAATGGTTAGAAATTTAGTTCCTCAGTCATATGAGTCACATTTCAGGTGCTCGTGGCTAGTGGCTGCCATATTACATAAAACATAATACCAAAATAGAATGTTTCCATTAATACAGTAAGTTCTACTGGAAGTTCAAATAAAACAATGAGCTTACACAAGTGGTCACGCTTGACCTTTCCCCAATACCTTATTAGGTCTGATGCTTTTCCATCATTCTGGATTCCTTATCTGCTGAGATCATGACCCAAGTATCTATAAGGATAACCTTCTTTTATCCTATTTGTTTTCCATTTTTTGAGGTGATACTGCAAAAAGTCTTTTTTTCTCAATTTTTTTCTTTTATTGTTTAAAGCACATGTGTCAAACACAAGGCCCGCGGGCCAAATCCGTCCCGCCAGGCCTTGCAATGTGGCCCGCACCGCGCTGTCATCACTGCACTCCGCTACGTTTCCATCACAATGACAGTTTATGACTGTTCAGTAAACCATTCGGCCCGCGATTTAGGCTGGATTTTAGATTTTGGCCCCTTCTCTGATTGAGTTCGACACCCCTAGTTTAAAGTATTACAAAGAGTAGTACATATGTCTCCTTTTCCCCCCAATTGACCTTCCCCTAGCTTCCTGGCACATGCTCAGTGTCTTTTGTCCATTGGTTGTGCTTATATGCATGCATACAAGTCCTTTGGTTGATCTCTTACCCGCCCAACAACCCTGCCCAGCCTTCCTGCTGTCGTTTGACAGACTGTTTGATGCTTCTCTGCCTCTATCTATTTTTGTTCATCAGTTTATAATGTTCTTTATTATCCGTAAATGAGTAAGATCATGTGGTATTTTTCTTTCACTGACTGACTTATTTCACTTAGCATAATGCTCTCCAGTTCTATCCATGCTGTTGCAAATAGCAAGAATTCCTTCTTTTTTATTTTTATTATTTTTTTTTACATTTGTGAAAATTGACTTTTTCTTTTCTTTTTTTAAAAAAATCTTTATTGTTCATATTATTACAAATGTTCCTCATTCCCCCGCCCGCCCCCTGCTCCATTGCTCTCCTCCACCAGGTTCCCACCCCACCCTCTGCCCTTTCCCTACCCCCCATTGTCCTCATCCATAGGTGCACAGTTTATGTTCAGTCTCTTCCACACTCCCCTCTCCCCTTTTCCCTGAGAATCGTCAGTTCGCTCCCCTTCCATACCTCTGATTCTATTATATTCACCCATTAATATTGTTCATCAGATTTTTTTAAATTCCTTTGGTTTTTAGATTCACTTGTTGATAGTTACGTATTTGTTGTTCATAGTTGTTAATCTTTATTTACTTCTCTTCCGAAAGAACCCCCTTCAGCAATTCATATAATTCTGGTTTGGCGGTGATGAACTCCTTTAGCTTATTTATTTATTTTTACTAGTGAAGCTCTTTATCTGACCTTCGATTCTGAGTGATAGCTTTGCTGGGTAGATTATTTTTTGGCTGTAGGTTCTTGCTATTCATCACTTTGAATATTTCTTGCCATTCCATCTGGCCTGCATGGTTTCTGTTGAGAAATCAGCTGACAATCGTATGGGTGCTCCTTTATAAGTAACTACCTGCTTTGCTCTTGCTGCTTTTAATATTCTCTCTTTGTCTTTTGCTCTTGTAATTTTAATTATGATGTGTCTTGGTGTGGTCTTCCTTGGATTCTTTTTGTTTGTTTGGGGTTCTGTGCGCTTCCTGAACTTGTAAGTCTAATTCTTTCACCAGGTGGGGGAAGTTTTCTGTCACTATTTCTTTCAGTATGTTTTCAATATCTTGCTCTCTCTCATCTTCTGGGACCCCCATAATTCTGATGTTGGTTCACTTGAAGTTGTCCCAGAGGTTTCTTACATTATCTTCAACTTTCTGGATTCTCTTGTCTTAATTCCTTCTTTTTTTATAGCAGCATAGTATTCCATTGTGTAGATGTACCACAGCTTTCTTTCTTTCTTTTTCTTTTTTTTAAAATATATTTTATTGATTTTTTTACAGAGAGGAAGGTTGAGAGATAGAGAGCTAGAAATGTTGATGAGAGAGAAACATCGACCAGCTGCCTCCTGCACACCCCCTACTGGGGATGTGCCCACAACCAATGTACATGCCCTTGACTGGAATCGAACCCGGGACCTTCAGTCCGCAGACCGATGCTCTACCGCTGAGCCAAATCGGTTTTGGCTGTACCACAGTTTTCTAATCCACTTATCTCCTGATGGGCATTTAGACTGTTTTCAAATCTTAGCTATGGTGAATTGTGCTCCTATGAACATAGGAATGCATATATCCTTTCTGATTGGTGTTTCTGTTTCCTTGGGATATATTCCTAGAAGTGGTTTTACTGGGTCAAATGGCAGTTTCACTTTTAATTTTTGAGGAAATGTCATACTGTTTTCCACAGGATTGTATCAGTCTGCACTCCTACCAACAGTGATGAGGGTTCCTTTTTCTCCGCATCCTCTCCAGCATTCATCATTTGTTGATTTGTTGATGATAGCCATTCTGACAGGTGTGAGGTGGCACCTCATTGTTCTTTTGATTTGCATCTCTTAGATGATTAGTGACTTTGAGCATGTTTTCATATGTCTTTTGGCTTTCTGAATGTCCTCTTTTGAAAAGTGTCTATTTAGGTCATTTGCCCATTTTTTTGATTGGGTTGTTTATCTTCCTTTTGTTAAATTGTATGAGTTCCCTGCAAATGTTGGAAATTAAACCCTTATTAGAGATAACATTGGCAAATATGTTTTCCCATGCAGTGGGCATTCTTATTGTTTTGTTGATGGTTTATTTTCTCCTTACTTTCCATTGCCCTAGGAGCTGTATCATTAAATATATTGCTACAACAAATGTCTGCTATTTTGCTGTCTATGGCTCCTTCTAAGATTTTTATGGTTTCTCATCTTATGTTTAAGTCCTTTATCCATTTGAAGTTTTATTTTATTTTATTTATTTATTTTTAAAATATATTTTTTATTGATTTTATACAGAGCGGAAGGGAGAGGGATAGAAATATAGAAACACTGATGAGAGAGAAACATCGTCCAGTTGCCTCCTGCACATCCCTCACTGAGGATGTGCCCGCAACAAATGTACATGCCTTTGACCAGAATTGACCTGGGACCTTTCAGTCTGCCGACAACTCTCTATCCACTGAGCCAAACCGGTTTTGGCTGGAGTTTTATTTTTGTGTATGGTGTAAGTTGGTGGTCTAGTTTCATTTTTTTGCAAGTATCTCTCCAGTTTTCCCAACACCATTTATTTATTTTATTTATTTATTTGTTTATTTATTTAAAATTATTTTATTATTTATCTGTTTGTTTTCAGCATCTTTTTTTAAAAAAAATCCTCACCTGAGGGTATTTTCCCATTGATTTTTTAGAGAGAGTGGAAGAGAGAGGGAAAGACAGAGAGAAACATTGATCAGCTGCCTCCCAAACTCTCCCTGGAGCCTGCAACCAAGGCACATGCGCCTGACTGGAATCAAACCCAGTACCCTTCAGTTTGCTGGCCTATGCTCCATCTACTGAGGCAAACTGGCCAGGATCCCAATACCATTTATTGAAGAGGCTGTCTTGACTCCATTGTATTGTTTTGGCTCCTTTGTCAAATATTAATTGCACAAAATGGTTTGTGTTGATTTCTGGGTTCTCTGTTCTGTTCCACTGGTCTATATGTCTGTTCTTTTTATTTTTTAATTTTTTTAATTTTCTTTTTATTAAATTATTATTTGTGTACATATTTAACCATTGGCCCTCCCCATAC